CCGCCCCCGGCGCCCGCGACGGTGCCCCTGCCTCACCCGCGCCTGCACTCGGTGCAGCCGCCCCTGCACCACCCAGCGTCTGCCCTTGGAGCAGCCGCCCCCGCTCCTGCACTCGGTGTAGCCGCCTCTGCCTCACCCCGCGCCTGCACTCGTTGCAGCCGCCCCTGCCCTACCCGCGCCGACCCTCTGTAGCCGCTCTGCGGCTTTCTCCCCGCCCACCCCCTCCTCCTTCGTCTCCCTGCAGCTGTGGGGGGGAGGGTATGGGGGTGGCGAGTGAGGGGGTGATGGGTGGTGTGCTTCCTTTCCCCTCCTCCTTTCATTCCCACTGCTGCAGCTGCCGCTGGGGGGGAGGGTGTGAGGGTGTGGGGGAGCCGGGGGAGTGGCACTGGGGTGGCGGGTGTGAGACCAACCAGCAGCCGTCCCTCCACCTCTCCTCTCTTCCCCCCTCTGCTGCTCCTGCAGCAGTGTGGGGGGGAGGGGGAGGGGGAGGGTGAGGGGATGGAGGGGGTGACCAGCCAGCGCCAGCCTGCCTCCTCTCTCTCCCTGCTGCCCCTCCTGTGGTCGGGGGGGGAGGAGAGTAAGGGGGTGGTAGGAGTGTCTTGCTGTCGCCTGCCCCTTTGCTGCTGTACATGCTCTGTTGCCTTGCCTGCTATTGCTGTTTTATCAGTCTGTGGTGTACCCCTGCAGTTTGTGTTTTGCACTTAGCTATTCCTGCATGCAGTTACGGGGGGATGTCAAAATTATATTCTGATACCTGCATGTAGTTCTAGCTGTAGTGTAGATATGAATTTTATAGGTGGTGCACCTCTTTCTTCACTTGTTTGCTATATGTCCTCTCTTGCTATAGTGAACACCATTCCCATTCTCGACTCTCCCTACTTGGCACAAACTAGCTCGACCCCCTTGGCCTAGCCTACTAAGCCTAGGCCCACTTAAACCTAACTACCTTCCCACTTCTCATTCTTAACAGAATGGCGAGGTCCAGACGAGTACAAGTCATCAGGTACATGAGGCAGCCCAAAAGCTCTGCGTAGGGACCACTAGACACAAAGGGCTCGTCAGGAAAAGGGCTGTGTGGTGGACTGCTGAAGCCCGAACCCCTGAAGGACCTGCTGTACCATGTGTGACTGTGAGAGTGTAATGGTGCGAGCGGCTCTGTTCCTTGGGATCTGCAAGCCAAGATAGTGGCGCAGCTCACCAAGGTCAGTGCACGTGTGTCTCTTTTGCAGTTCGGACTTCACCTCAGCCAGAGCGGCCCTGTCTACTGTAGCAAAGACCAAGTCATCGACGTAGACGAGGTCGAAGAAAGGTGTGGGGCCCAGAACGAACGAACAGCGATGGGCCGGCGGACGAAGGACGAAACCCAAGGGCAGCAAGAGTGGTGCGCAGCGTGTCGTGCCACTGACGAGGCACCTGGCGGAGACCATAGAATGGTCGTCTGAGGCTCCACTGGGTCCTAGGCGGGAAAGCTCACGTCGCCGAGCAGCCTGGAGACGTGTGTCGTGGCGGTCGGGAGGCGCAGTAGTAGAGCCCCCGGTGCTAGTCTCCCTATAACTAGCACCTCCAGTGCCAGCATCTCCAGCTCCAGCACCCCCAGAACTAGCACGACCAATGCCAGCACCTCCAGCTCCAGCACCTCCGAAACTAGCACCACCAGGGCCAGCACCTCGAGCTCCAGTACCCCTAGTGGCAGCACCTCCAGCTCCAACATCCCCTGAGTCCATAGTAACCTGTCGCGGAAATGCCGAAGGCTGTTGGGGGGAATGTAAGGAGGATTGCAGGGAGGGAGGCGCTACCTGATGTGCGATCGAGGGTAGAGGGGTAGCATGCGACACACAGAACGGGGTGAGACCAGAGGGGGGCGGGGGTACCGGAGGAGCAGGAGTAGAAGGAGGAGAGGGTGCGAGGAAAAGAGGAGGAGGGGGGACTGGGAGACCTCGACATGGGTACCAGGTGTAGTAGGACACGGACTCGTCAAACTGGACATCACGGGAGTCAAGGAAACGGTGGAGGGGCGGGTGGTAAACGAAATAGTCAGGAGAGTCCACTGGGAAACCAAGGAAGACACAGGGAATGGCGCGAGCCGAGAGCTTATCCGCAGAGGTGTCGCGGACAAGCACAAGGCAGCCTGAGACGTGAAACTTTGACTCAACACCAGGGGACCAGGTCCAAAGACTGGTCGGTAAAGATCATGATCGTGAAACGTGATGCCACAGGTTCAGCAAGTGGGCGGCGTAGCAAACCGCGTAAGGCCATAGAAAATGTGGCGCACGGGCATGGATCATAGAGGTGCGGGTGATATCCATGGCCAAGCCAGTGCGGCGCTCAGCAACCCTATTCTGCTGTGGGGACTCTGGAAGCGTCCAGGACTGTGTGATGCCCTGCTCGCTGCAGAACGCGGCAAGTACGCCAGAGCGGAACTCACCCCCATGGTGGGAGTGGAGACAACAGACACGTCTACCACGAGTGCCCTCAGTGGCCAGGAGCCATCGGATCAGCGTAAAAGTCACCTAAGACTTCTTCGCAAGAGGAAACACCGTGGTGTACTTGGAGTAGTCGTCAACGACCACGAGAAAGAAGCGCTCCGGTCCAAGCCCAGCACGAGCGGCTGGGCCCCAGACGTCCAAGTGGAGGGTCTAGAAGGGAGCGGTGGCCGGATGAAGGGAGGAGTGAGGAGTGGCGCGCAGCCTACCCTCGACGCAAGGAGTGCAGGGCAGCGCATGCGAACTAGGGAGAGACGCAAAGACACGCGGGAGACCTGAGACAAGACGCTAGCTAGCCATGCTGCGGAGCCGTGGGATGGATAGGTGACCAAGGTGGTGGTGCCACAAGACTGTCGGGTGAGAGAGTGAACGGCAAGAGCAAGACGCAGCAACGAGACCGGCCACAGCAACCTGTGGGGATGCAGAAACCTGACCGGACTCGCCTACCTAGAGGGTCCTGACCGGACTCTGCCACCTGGTGGGACACAGTGTGCAGAACGAAGAGACCTGACTGGGGCTGCCCGGTGAACGTGGCAAGAAGTGCCCCGGTGGAAGCATCTGTACAGATCGCTGTCCCCCCATGCACTTGAAAAGTAACTGTGATCCCACGATCCTGAAGGTATCCAACGCCCACCAAGTTCCGAGAGAATGAGGGGATGTAGAGGCCAGTGAGGAAACCAGAAGGGATAGCCGAGCACGGGAGAGTGGTCGAGCTGCGAGCGACAGCTGGTTCTGAAGTAGGATCAGCCAGGGCAACTTGGACTGGAGCCGAAAGAGGTGTGACACTGGTGTGGTCACGGAAGAAGCACTGAGACGCGCTTGAGTCCAGCGTAAAGGAGAGCGACGCGACAGCAGTCGTCACGACTGGGCTAGTGATTACACAAGAACCTACACTAGCAATAGGCAAAGGTCCTAAGCTAGGTACCCGCAAGCCATTGCTGCTGAGGTTCCAACCGCTGAAACGACCGCCGCTGAGGTCCCTGCTACTAGAGAACTCTAGTGGACTCCATGGTAAAGGCTAGTAGGGTGGAGGAGCGACAGGCTAAGAGCGCCTGGAGCTAGGAGAGAAGAGTGAGAACTGGTAGGAGCACCAGGTGAAACTAGGTGAAGAATGGCAGGAGCATGGAGCAAACGGAGCTGGGAGCAAGGAGCGAGAATAGTTAGGAGCGCTAGGTGAAACTAGGTGAGGAACGGCCGGAGCACGGAGCAAACTGAGGTAGAAGCGACTGGAACGAGGAACTGCAGGGGTGAGGCACGGCCGCAGCGAGAAACGTCAGGCTAGAAACTACAGGCTCGAGGAGTGGCTGGAGCGAGGAGTAAGAACAGCTAGGAGCGCATGGTGAAACTAGGCAAGGAACGATCGAATGGAGGAGGAAACTGAGCTAGGAGCTAGAAGCTGGGAGTAGCTAGACATATGAACGAGCGGAGCTGGGAGCGAGTGGAGTGAGGAGCGCCAGGTCTGAAAACCAGCAGATGGAAACCTAGGCTAGGAGGAAACACTGAAAACATAATCCGTGAGAAGGACGGAAGAGCGGCTGCCAGCTGCCGTGGAAGTTGCCAAGAGCAGTAGGCTCGCCGTAAAGCCCGAGCACAGCAGCGGCGTAGGGGGTGGGGGGAGAGTGCGTTGCTGGGTGGTGGTGCGCGCGTGGTGGCCGGGCTTAGCGCGCGCTGCACTGCTGGAGTGGGCCCTTGTGGGTGGCTATGGGCGGCTGTGGGCCCGTGTGGGTGGCTATGGGCGGAAGTAGGAGGCTGTGGGCTTTGAGGAGGGGCTGTGGGTGGCTCGAAGGGGCTGTGAGCATTTGGAAGGGGCTGTGAGCAGTTGGAAGGGGTTGTGAGCAGTTTGAAGGGGCTATAGGAGGGTGGGAGGTTCTAGCTGGCAGATAGCTGTTGGCGGCTAGTAGCTGGCGGCTGGCTGCTAGCGGCTAGCTGCTGCTGGCAGCTAGCTGCGATGCGTGCGGCTGCTAGAGCTGCTGTGTACGCGGTCGCTGCGTGCGTGCGTGGCTGCAGTGGCGTGCGTGGCTTCCTCCAAGCTAACGAGCATGCTGCTGTTGCTGGTGCGTGAGTGCCTGCTGCGTGCGCACGCGGCTGCTGCTGGATACGCGCGGCTACGCGGGTCCGCAAGGGGGGGGGGGGGGGGGGGGGGAGAGAGGGGGCATTTAGAGCACGCCAAAATGTGAAAGAGTGAACGCGAATGAATGAACTATGAATGAAGTGGGTACAAGTAGTAACCCTAATTGGGTTGTACCCCTTATGGGATACCCCACTATAGCCTACACAAAAGCATGAGCTATAATGTTCTGACACACCCCCATAGGCAAAGTGGGGGAGAACAAGGGGTCACAAGACCAGTCAAGCAAAGCAAAGCAAAGCAAGCTCAGGGTGGATCACAACGTCACCACACAGTCTGAGCACAAGGTCAAGGCCACAAGGCCACTTCACATGAAGGAGGAGACACATATATATAAGTCTAAACAAGCAAGAGCAGGTATATATATATATGCAAGAGTACAAGTAAGGTCAAGAGGTGAGCAAGTGAGGCAAGACTGGGACAAGTCCCAGCTGAGTGCAGAAACGCTGATGATCACAAGGCGGAAGTGCCTTGGTGAAAACATCAGCAGTGTTGGCCTCAAAGGCCACGTACGCAAGTCGCAACTGACCACGCTGCTGCAACTCACAAGCAAGAAAGTAGCGGAGAGCAATGTGCTTCGTTCTGTGCTCCAGGCGCTGCTCTCGACACAAGGCCAGCATGGCCTTGTTGTCTACGTACAGCACTGGAGGAGAACGAGGCGGCTCTCCAAGGTCAGTCAGCAGGTAGGTGAGCCAGCGAAGCTCCTGTGCAGCCATGGCCCCGGCGTAGATCTCAGCCTCACAACTGGAGCCGAGAACAGAAGACGAGCGAGTAGCCCGCCACGAAACAGAGCCGGAACCAAGACTAAAGGTGTAACCCTGCGACGACCGCTGAGTAGCCTGGTCGTCAGCCCAAGAAGCGTCCGCGTGCCCAGTGAGGACCACTGGACTCCGCCCTCCAAGCACTAGCCCCATGCCTGACGTACTGCACTAGTAGCGCAACACCCTCTTCGCTGCAGCCATGTGCTTTGGTTGGTGTCTCCCAAGAGCAACATAGCATGCCAAGATGCTAAGAGGGTATGCCAGGTCAGGTCGTGTGCAGGTCATCAGGTACATGAGGCAGCCAACAAGCTCTGGGTACGGACCACTCGACTCTACGGACTCATCCGAAGGCAGAGCTGAGAGCGAGTGGCGAGTAGACAGAGGAGTGGCCTGAGGCGAGGAGTACGTGAAGCCGAAGCGCTGAAGGACCTGCTGCACCATGTGTGACTGAGTCAAGGTAATGGTGCGGCGTGCTCTGTCCCGAGTGATCTGCAAGCCAAGGTAGCTGCGCAGTTCACCGAGGTCTGTGCACGTGTGTCTCTTCTGCAGCTCAGACTTCACGTAGGCGAGTCCAGCAGTGTCCGCTGTGGCAAAGACCAAGTCGTCGACGTACACAAGGATGTAGAACGGCGGCAGAGAAGTGTCGGTGCGCAGAAACAACGACGGGTCAGCAGTAGAGGGAGCAAACCCAAGAGCCGCAAGCGTAGTCCTCAGTGTGTCGTGCCACTCACGCGGTGCCTGGCGGAGACCGTAGACTGGCCGCCAGAGGCTCCACTGGGTGCTAGGAGGGAAAGTCCCAGTGAAGCCAGGTGGACGGCGCAGCCAGATCTCCTCGTGCAGGCTACCATGCAAGAAAGCAGTGCTGAAGTCAAGAGAGTGGAGCTCGTAGTCGCGCTGAGCGGCTATGTGCAGCAGCACCCGAACAGTGGTCATCTTCGGGGTGGGAGAGAAGGTCTGAAAGTAGTCAACTCCCTGCGGCTGACTGAAGCCACGAGCCACGTACCGCGCCTTGAAGACAGGTGGAGAGCCCGGCGGCCGCTTCACCCTGAAGATCCACATCCCACTGACGATGTTCGCCCCAGGAGTGGGAACCGCGTCAACGTAGGTGCCTGTGGACTTCCAGGAAGCCATCTCTGCATCCATAGCTGCCTGCCACTGAGAGGAGTAGGGACCCTCTACGGCCTCCGCGTAAGAGCGCGGAGTCGGGATGTCTAGTGCATCCGGGTCTCCCTCAGGAGCAAGCAGTACAGACGCGAGATGAGGTGAAGCAGCAGCCAGACACTAGAACTCCTCCTGCCTGTCCTCTAGGACGTCCGTGCCAAGAGCACACTCACCCCCGACGGACGGAGGACAGACAGACGCAGACTCAGCAACAAGACTAGCAGTGTAGTCTAGACGACAGCGAGCAGCAAAGTCGACGAGCTCAGCAACAAGAGCAGACGCAGCAGTGGACTCAAAGGAGGGGTCAGTGACGACAGTAGCAAGGAGACGCGTGACAGTAGGACTGGCAGCACGAAGAGAGTCCGACTCAGGGTCGGCAAGCGCAGGAAGAGAGGACTCAGGAGGAGAGGGCAAAGGGGCACGCAGAGGAGCAGTGGACGGACGCAGAGACATCCGGTGCGTGCCAGGGACAGGAGGAGGAGGATGACGCGAACTGCGACCACTAGTGCGAGCCGCACGAACAGGCGACGCAGGACGAGACGCAGGCTCACGACGCTCAGCAAGACCTCCAGTAGGACAAGTGTAAGGTGAAGGAGAAGGCAGTGGGGAGGCCGGCGGTAACTGTGACTGCGACTTGACAGGCGGTGGACACTCTAAGAGAGGAGGAAGACCAAGAACCTGCTGAAGAAGCGGAACAAAGTACGGCCGAGGCCGCGCGGCAGCACCAGGCACAGCAGGGACAGCACCAGCACCCTCGGCACCTCCGGCAGCACCAGCGCCAACAGCACCTCCAGCGGCAGGACCTCCAGCAGCACCAGCAGCACCCGCAGCACGACCAACACCAGGACTGACAGTAGTAGTCTCAGAACCAACACCCTGAGCAGGTCGAGCTCCAGGCGGACCCGCAGGCCCAGCAGCTCCGGTACCGGCGGCACCAGCACCCTTAGCGGTTGAAGAAGCGCCAGCTCCAGCAGTACGCCTCCAGCGGCGAGCAAACCACTCACGCAGCTCCTGTGGAGAGAGTGGCTCCCGACGAGACGAAACACCCGGAGAACCTCCAGGCCCAGCACCGCCTGACGCCACAAGGGGAGGTCCAATGGCCGCACGCTCCACACCTCCAGGCTCAGCAGCTCCAGACGCAGCACCCCCAGGCTCAGCACCCCCAGGCTCAGCACCCACGCGCGCAGCACCCCCAGAGGCAGCACCCACAAGCTCAGCACCCCCAGGCTCAGCACCCCCAGAGTCAGCACCCCCAGGCTCAGCACCCCCAGGCTCAGCACCCCCAGCAGTACTTGAGTCACCAGCAACCTCGACCGGCTCGAATGCATCTACCTTGGACACACCGGAAGGGGCAGGACCCTGAGGGGGAAGGGGGTCTATCGGGGGGGGACCTGGCACAAGGAAGTGCGGTGGCGGGGGGAGGGAAGGAGTGCGGTAGGGGAAGAGGCGGTAGTAGGGTACTGACTCGTCGAACGTGACGTCCTGGGAGGACAGAACAGGACGAGAGGATGGGTGGTAGAACTGCCACCCAGGGAAGTCACGGGGGAAGCCTAGGAAGACATAGGGAGCAGCACGAGGGGACAGCTTGTCCGCAGACAAGTCGCGGACAAACGCCCGACATCCCCAGACACGGAACGCTGACGCATCGCCAACCTTCCCCGTCCACAGCAGAGCTGGGGAGGTCTCCGGCCGGGAGACCCTGGGGTGAAGGTTGAGCTGATGTGCCGCGTACTGAACCGCAAACGGCCAAAGAAAATGGGGGGCAGCCGCATGCATCATGGACGTACGAGCGACGTCCATGACCATGCCAATGCGGCGCTCAGCAATCCCATTTTGGTGTGGAGAGTCCGGAAGCGTCAAGGTCTGGCGGATGCCTCATGCACGACAGTAGGCTCGCAGAAGGCCACAGGAGAACTCTCCGCCTCGGTCAGAGTGCAGACGTAGAACAGGAAAGTCCGAGCCGAAGCTCCTCCTGAGCTGGAGACGAGCTGCGCGGATCCAGTGGATCAACACCCCAGTGACATCACCCTTGTTGCGCAAGGGGAAGACCGTGGTGTAACACGAGTAGTCGTCAACTACCAGCAGGAAGTAGCGCTCGTGACCCTGTCCACGGACGCGGGCCGGGCCCCACACGTCCATGTGAAGCGTCTGCAGAGGAGCCTCTGTCGGGGGAAAATGGGAGGAGTGAGGGACAGCCCGGAGCCGCCCCTCGACAAAGGGGACACAGGAAGGTCCTGGCCCCGAAGGAAGGGGAGGGAGAGACTGGGGGAGACCAGAGACAAGAACACAGGAAGCCATGCCCCGAAGACGAGGCAAGGAGGGGTGGCCAAGACGGTGGTGCCACAAGAGAGTCTCGTGAGACAGGAGGCGATACGAGCAGGGGGCAGACTCAGGACCAGACCTGGACGCAGCAGCAAACACCTGACCCGACGCAGCTACCTGGCCAGACGCAGGGACCGGAGGAGACTCAGTGGTCAGGGTGTAGAGACTCGACCCGGGCCGACGCGAAAACGTGGCTAGGTGTCGGCCTGTGCGGGCGTCCGAGCAGTGGGTCCCCCGCTGACTCGCAGGAGTAAACTGGTGAACCCTCGCATCCTGCAGGTCAGCACCACTCACCAAGTTCGTCGAGAACGAGGGGAGGTACAGACCCGACAGGGTGCCCGAGGGGGCAGCCGGACACGGGAGGACAGTGGAGAAGTGAGCGAGGACAGGACCTCCAGAGGGGTCAGCCAGGGAGACTGCAACCGGCCGATCAAGCGGCGTGAGTGTGGTGCGGTCTCGAAAGAAGGAGCGAGAAGCCCCTGAGTCAAGTGTGAAGGTGAGGGAGGCCGAAGCCGACGCAGTACCTGAGAGCGCAGCCTCACTTGTACCTGAGAGTGCAGACGCACTGGCACCTAGAGCAGTAGCCTCACAAGCACCTAGCGCAGCAGTACCAATGCCCGGGTCGGGCGGGAAACACCGGTAACAGTCACCCTCATCACTAATAGTCACAGCATACATGGCAGCAAGGATAGCATCAAAGTCAAGATCAAAGATCGCTACGCCAGCCCTAGACAGCTCTCCCCAGTGGGGAATCTCACTAGCCTCGGGGAACTGCTGACGCCAAGCGTCCGTCAGGCGGCCAAAGCAGCGCTGGGTGGAGTGGGCACCCCCACACTGCTCACCCGCGCGGTCGCCGGAACGAAGAACGTAGGTGCACGGGCCAAGACCCCCACCACGCTGACGCTGCGTGTACCACTCACGGAGCTGCTGAGGCGGGGGGATGTCCCGAGAACGCTGCTGCTGCTGCTGCTGGCGCTGACCACCACCAGAGCCGCTCCGTTGCGGGGCACTACCCTGACCGGCTCCACCTCCTCCGCCACCGCCGCCTCCACCTCCGCCACCACCGCCGCCTCCGCTCCCACCGCCTCCGCCGCCACCGCCGCCGCCTTCGCTGCCGCCACCACCACCACCACCCCCACCACCACTCCCACCGCCACCCCCACTCCCTCTGCCACCGCCACTGCCACCTTCACCGCCCCCGCCAGCTCCACCCGCGCCCTTGCCCCCCTTGCCCTTGCCAGGGCGGCGTCTCCCGCTAGGAGCAGACGCCGCGCCGACCGACTCAAGACCAAGCAGGTCGGCAGCAGCAGAAGAGGCAACAGAGGGCAGCAGGGGGGAAGGAGAACACCCCTCAAAGATGGGGGTGCGCGGGTCACCACGAGAGGCTCCTAGAGCGACTATGCTCTTCTCCGCCGCTATTAGGGCCTTCTCGAGGAGGTCGACAGTGAGGGTGGTGGGACAGACTGAGAGGAAGTGGTCCCTGATTATGCGAAGGGAGTCAGGGAGGCGAGTGACTATGTAATAGAGAGCGATGTACATGGGGGGGGGGTTCTTGGCGCAGAACTCAGCACGAAGTGCGGCGCGATAGCGAGTGTCAGAAGTGCGGAGGTGCGTGATGAGGTCAGCGACTGTAGGAAAGGCAGCAAGGTCAGGAAAGAGGTACGGTAGCATGAGGCGGCTCAGTGCAGCAGTGGCAGGGGAAGAGTAGCGCGCAACTACAGCGTCGTACAAGGTCTGAGCACTCTTGTACTGACTAAAGTGCGCGCGCTCAGTGGTAGGCAGGTGGCGACGCACAGCAAGATGTGCAGCAGCATCGCGGGTGGCCCACTGAGAGCGAACAGTGGGGTCAGCATCAGCAGTAGGAGCAGGGGAGGCGCCAGAGGTGAGGTCAAAGAGAGAAAGGCCGTCCGCCCTATCGCACTGTAAAAACAGCTGCAGGTCGTCGACCCAGACCTCAAAGTCAATAGCTCGACCCTCAGCGTCAAAAGCGAGGACACTAGGGGTAGCCATGACGACACACTAGCAGTGCAAGCAGTGGGGGAAGGGCACGCAGTAGCAGTGGGGCTGTGCTCTCCAGACAGGGCAGGTCGGGCGGCTCGGCAGCAGGGCGGCTCGGCGGTACTGCGGCTCGGCGGTCTGGCGGCTCGGCGGCGGCTGCTGGGCGGCTCGGCTGAACTGCGGCTCGGCGGCCCGGCGGCTGCTGCTGGGCGGCTCGGCTGAACTGCGGCTCGGCGGCCAGGCGGCCCGGCGGCTGCTGCTGGGCGGCTCGGCTGCTCCGGTACCGGGCGGCGTGGCGGGCGGCTGCTCGGGCGGCTCGGCAGGAGGGGAGACCGGCGGGGCCGCGAAGGTGTGGGCGGCGGGGCCGCGTAGGAGAAGGCGGCGGGGCCGCGTAGGCACGGGCGGCGAGGCCGCGAAGGTGAGGGCGGCGGGGCCGCGTAGGTGAGGCGGCGGGGCCGCTACTTGAGGGCGGCGGGGCCGCAAAGGTGAGGCGGCGGGGCCGCTACGTGAGGGCGGCGGGGCCGCGACGTAAGGGCGGCGGGGCCGCGTAGGTAAGGGCGGCGGGGCCGCGTAGGTAAGGGCGGCAGGGCCGCGAAGGTGAGGGCGGCGGGGCCGCGAAGGTGAGGGCGGCGAGGCCGCGAAGGTGAGGCGGCGGGGCCGCAACGTGAGGGCGGCGGGGCCGCGACGTGAGGGCGGCGGGGCCGCGACGTGAGGGCGGCGGGGCCGCGACGTGAGGGCGGCGGGGCCGCGACGTGAGGGCGGCTGGGCCGCGACGTGAGGGCGGCGGGGCCGCGACGTGAGGGCGGCGGGGCCGCGACGTGAGGGCGGCGGGGCCGCGACGTAAGGGCGGCGGGGCCTCGTAGGTAAGAGCGGCGTACCGGGCCGCTAGGGGCGACACGGAGGGTCGCTAAAAAAAAGGAACGCGCGCCTCGGGGCGCGCTTCGGTGGGCCCTGGGAACAGTCCCTAGGAGGGGACCTGCTCTGATTCCATGTGAAAGAGTGAACGCGAATGAATGAACTATGAATGAAGTGGGTACAAGTACTAACCCTAATTGGGTTGTACCCCTTATGGGATACCCCACTATAGCCTACACAAAAGCATGAGCTATAATGTTCTGACACAAAACGGGGGGGGGGGGGGGGGGGGGGGTGGGGGGGGAAGGGCCTTCTTACTCGCGACGAATCGGACCATAAGGGACGGGCGCATCGGGAACGGTTAAGGGAGGGAGCGGAAGCGTGTGATGGAGAAAAAATACCTACTCTAATACCATCTTAAAACATGCTAGGAACAAGTGTCGAGAGCATTGGGGTAAGGGGATACAATCTGTTAACCTAAACAAAATATTGTACCCTTTAAAAGGCAACTCACTGTAGCCTAGAGTAACTAACCATATCTAAACGATATAAATATTTTGACACATATCAAGCACGCATCCGCAGAAAGGGATATTTTTTCAGACTCGCCCAAAACCTATCTGAGACCCTGCTCGTAGTACCAAGAGTCCCCGAAGTGAGTTAGGCGTGATCCATGTGTCATCCTCGCTTGCCTAATCAACCCGCCGAAGTAAGAGGTTGACGCTGCGTTCGATTGTCGTCAAGCGCACGCCATGACTGAGAACTTTACCAGGGTGGAGTGTAGGCTCTATATTCTGGCGTGCAATGTGTTGACGACAATGCGACAAACGGTTGCAACGGAACACATCGTGTATGCGCCAGTTATCGAGCAACAATAACTTTGACGTTATGTCTGTCAGCATTCTGATGATAAGGAATGGCCCCTCAAACCTCGGGCGGGGTTTTGCCAGTTGGGGCAACCGAAGGTTCTTCGTCTCTAGTTGTACCAACTGTCCCGCATTGAGGGGTAAATTATTTCGATGGCAAAAGGCATTGCGGCTGGCAATGACATTTGCCTTGCGAATAAACTCTTCTGATTTGTCTTGTGCAGCTTCTAATTCCGTGACGAACTGCTGCGAACGTGGTACCGGATTGTCGGGCATGGTCAACGAGGGTACCGCTAGATCTATTCTACAACTAAGGTAAAACGGGGACTAACAATTCGTAGCTAATTGTGCATCGTTTTACACAAACTCGAGCGTCTGTAGAGAATCTTCCCACTTGGACAAGTCGGGGCAATGTTAGAATGAGAAGGAGTGATTGCACTAGGAAGATTGAGAGTACAAGTAGGAAACCTAGAATTGTGTACCCCCTAAGGCTAAACCCACTATAGCCTACACAACTATAACATATATAATGTTTGACACACCCCATAGGCAAAGTGGGGGAGAGCAAAGGGGGTCACAAGTCCAGTCAAGAAAGGCAAAGCAAGCTCAGGGTGGATCACAAAGTCACCACACACTCTGAGCACAGGCAAAGGGCCACAAGGCCAGTTCACATGCAGAGGCATATATGCAACACAAACAACACAGTGATCTCTATCTAGCAGTGCAAACATACAGGTATATAAATATATATATATAGATCACAGTACAAGCAAAGCCTACAGCAAGTGAGGAAAAGTGGGCACAAGAACTAGCAAAGTACAGAAGCGCTGATGATCACCAGACTGAAGTGCCTTGGTGAATATATCAGCAGTGTTGGCCTGAGTGGCCACGTAACGCAGACGAAGCTGACCACGCTGCTGCAACTCTCGAGCCAGGAAGTAACGTAGAGCGATGTGCTTCGTTCTGTGCTCCAGTATGTGCTCCTCACACAAGGCAATGGCAGCCTTGTTGTCGACGTAGAGCACTGGAGGAGAACGAGGCCGCTCTCCCAGGTCGGTCAACAGGTAGGTGAGCCAGCGTAACTCCTGTGCAGCCATGGCTGTGACGAAGATCTCAGCCTCAAAATTGGAGCTGATAACTGAAGACAAACGTGTAGAACGCCAGGAAACTGAGCCAGAGCCAAGGCTGAAGGTGTAACCCTGTGACGACCGCTGTGTAGCTTGGTCGTCAACCCAAGAAGCGTCTGAGTGCCCAGTGAAAACAACTGAGCTCCTCCCTCCAAGCACGAGCCCTATGCCCGATGTACTGCACAAGTAGCACAGTACCCTCTTTGCAGCATCCCAGTGCACCTTTCGGTGCCTACCAGGAGCCAAGTAGCGGGCCAAAAGGCCAAGAGGGTATGCTAGGTCAAGACGAGTGCACGTCATCAGGTACATGAGGTAGCCAACTAGCTCTGGGTAAGGACCACTCCGTACTAAATACTCATCCGAAGGAAGAGCTGAGGGCGAGTGACCTGTAGCTAGAGGAGTGGCCTGTGCTGAGGACCAGGTAAAGCCGAAGCGCTAAAGGACCTGCTGCACCATGTGTGACTAAGTCAGTGTGATGGTGCGGCGTGCTCTGACCCGCGTGATCTGCAAGCCAAGGTAGCTGCGCAGTTCACCCAGGTCTGTGCACGTGTGACTCTTTTGCAGCTCCGACTTCACGTGGGCGAGAGCCTCAGTGTCAGCAGTGGCAAAGACAAAGTCGTCGACGTACAGCGACGTGTCGGTGCGCAGAAACAGCGACGGGTCAGCAGTAGAAGGCGCGAACCCAAGAGCCGCAAGAGTAGTCCTCAGCGTGTCGTGCCACTCACGTGGCGCTTGGCAGAGACCGTAGACCGGCCGCCGGAGGCTCCACTAGGTACCAGGGGGAAATGACCCAGTGAAGCCCGGAGGGCGGCGCAGCCAGATCTCCTCGTGCAGGCTGCCCTGCAAGAAAGCTGTGCTGAAGTCAAGAGAGTGAAGCTCGTAGTCACGCTGAGCGGCAACGTGCAGTAGCACCCAAAGAGTGGTCATCTTAGGGGTGGGGGAGAAGGTCTAAAAGAAGTCTACTCCCTCTTGCTGACTGAAGCCTCGAGCAACGTAACGAGCCTTGAAGACAGGCAGAGAACCTGGCGGCCGCTTCACCCTGAAAATCCACATGCCACTGACGATGTTCGCCCCAGGAGGGGGAACCTCGTCGACGTAAGTGCCAGTGGACTTCCAGGATGCCATCTCTGCGTCCATGGCTGACTGCCACTGAGAGGAGTACTCACCCACGATCGCCTCACCGTAAGAGCGCGGGGTCGGGACGTCTGGAGCATCCGGGTCTCCCTCAGGGGCAAGTAGCATGGACACGAGATGAGGCGCAGCGGCTGCAAGACTCTCAAGGTCCTTCTGTCTGTCCTCAAGGACGTCCGTGCCTAGAGCACACTCACCCCCGACGGACGGAGGACAGAAAGACTCAGACTCAACAACAAGACTCGCGGCGTAGTCTAGACGACAGCGAGCAACAAAGTCGACAAGTTCAGCAACTAGGGCAGACGCAGCAGCAGACTCAAAGGAAGGGTCAGTGACAGCAGTGGCCAGGAGACGCGTGAAAGTAGGACTGGCAGCACGAACCCGGTCAGACTCCGGGTCAGCAAGGACAGGAAGAGAGGACGCAGGAGGAGATGGCAGAGGGACACGTAGTGGAGCAGTGGAAGGATGCAGAGTCATATAGTGTGTGCCAGGGACAGGTGGAGGACGGTCACGCGGAGCACGGCGACCAATGCGAGCAGCACAAACACGCGAAACAGGACGAGACTCAGGCGACACAGGACGAGACTCAGGCTCACGACGCTCTGTAAGACCGCCTGTCGGACCAGTGTAGGGAGAAGGACCAGGAAGTGGCGAGGCAGGTGGTAGCTGTGACTAGGACTGGACAGGCGGAGGACACTCTAAGGAGGGAGCAGGACAAGGAGGAGGCGGCTGACCAAGAACCTACTGGAGGAGTGGAATGAAGTACGGTCGCGGCTGTGCAGTGCACCGAAAACCAGTAGAGACAGCACCAGAACCTCCAGCAGCAGCTCCAACTCCTGCAGCACCACCAGCAGCTCCAGTACCTCCAGTAGCACCAGCAGCCTCAGTACCTCCAGCAGCACCAGCAGCACCTCCAGCAGCACCCCCAGTCCTAGAACCTCCAGTACCGCCAGTACGAGCACCTCCAGGACCAGTGGCTCCAGCACCTCCAGTGCTGACCCCAAGGTCAGCAGCAACACCACCTCTAGTAGGCACAGCGCCCTCAGCTCCAGCTCCAGTAGCACCACGGAGGCGGCGACGATACCGAGAGTACCACTCACGCAGCTGCGAGGAAGAGAGAGCGCCCCCAGGCGCAGTACCCCCAGGTTTAGGACCTCCAGACTCAGCACCCCCAGGGACAGCACCCCCAGGCTCAGCACCCGCAGTCTCTGCACCCCCAGGCTCAGCACCCGCAGTCTCCGCATCCCCAGGCTCAGCACCGCCAGACATTGCACCCCCATGCTCAGCACCCCCAGTCTCCACACCCCCAGGCTGTCAACGGGAGTTGTGTGTTGGCCCCGTCCACGCTTGGGCGGAGCCGACTTCGTGGTGGGGTGTACGGAAGGTACAGCCGACTTGCAGCAGTGGGCGACCCCGACTTGGGCGAGCTGGTCGACGCGGTTTGTCTACTTGCACGGGGCCACTGCAATGCCGCCGACTTGGGAAGCCGGCGGCCGACTTCAACTGGTGGTCGGCGATGTGGCACGTCGACCTGGAAGTCAGCACCGACTTGCAAGGTCACCAACTTGCAAGGTCGCCGACTTGGGAGTTCGCCGACTTCAAGAGGTCAGTCTGGAAGTCGGCGCCGACGTAGAAGGGGCGTCGACTTGGTGACGCCGACTTTGGGTAGCCGACTTGGGTGGTCGGCTGACAACTGCACTGGTCGACCAGGAGTGACGTCGACCTAGAGCTGGTCGACTAGAGGAGTGGTCGACTTAGTGAGATCGACTTGGTGTGGTCGTCGACTTGGGAGGTCGACGAGCACATAAAGGAGTAGCTGGTTAACATGGTTGCCCAGTCGACAAGGATACCTGGGTCATGAGGTTCTGCGAAGGAGTGCGACGGTCGCCCAGGCAACGTTGGCGAGTCCGACCTCTATGGTGGTATCCCGAGGTCAACGTGGCAGATCAGGTGGAGCCGTCAGCACGAAGATGACTTGGTGCGTGCGCTGTTCAGGTGACAAGGCCTAGCCCTCCAATCATCAACGGGCACCTTCGAAGTAGGTGCGTTGCTGTTCTACGGGAGCAACGCTGGCATGCCGTCAACCTGCAGCGTTGGCACGTTGTCGACTTTGCACTGCTGGAGCGCGGTCGACCAAGTCGTGCTGGAACACGGTCGACCATGCTGTGCTAGCAGTCGACCAACCTGAATGCTAGCTCTGATGTAGTCTTGCCATGCCAACTTGATTGTATCGTTGTCATGTTTTCCTAGTGAAACTCTTGCCAATTCTCCCCGTGAACTAGCAAGAAGCATAACCACAAGGAAATGACTAAGTGAACGAACACAGAGATCACACGAGCACACGTGCCTAGCCCGTAGTCTAGCTCCCGTTGCAGCACTTATCTCCGCATGGTGCGGTGAGCGTGGACGACACCGCGACGTAGTTTAGTCTAGCCGGCTTTGCACATACCGATCGTGTTCGTAGACCGGCAGCCGTGCAGTCACTAGCGTGCGCGTAGGCGACGCCGAGGTGATGGACAGCCTGGAGGGACAGCTGGAGGATGCGAGGAGATGCCATGAGGCCAAGGAGTATGGGGCGATACCCTGGGCAGTCGTCGAAGCCGGACTCCGCTCCGTGTGGGCGGCGGAGCTCCCCCCTTCTCGACCTGCCTCTCCTCGACCGGTGAACAACGACGGCGGCGTCGACGTGGGCCTCAACGCCGGCGGAGGGCAGGTCGGCAGCAGTGCGGGAGGCACGTCAAGGCAGCGAGGTGTGATAACGCCGATGAAGTCGACGGCGTTCAGGCGCGAGGGATACAGTCATTGGCGGCTGCAGGCTCTTCACTGGGTGACGTCGGAGGTCGACGGAGTGGGCTGTTGCCTATGTCGGCGTCCTAGGTGACGGCAGGTGGGATTGCGCCGACTACGGCTACTTCAAGTTTACGCCGGACAGGATCTCAGTCACCCCTCCACTGGTCGGTCGACCCGACATTCTCACCTAGAAGGAAGCTATCAAAGCCCCAGCTGGAGATGGCCGGACTGATCGGCTTCGCCCGAGGAACTGTGGCGACGCCTGATGAGCACCACCCCGACTTGCGGGCGGAGTTTTGCGCCGTGCAGCTGTTGACCTTCACGGTCATCTCGCGGTGCTGCTCGCCGGGCGTGCAAATCGCCTTGAAGTGGTGCCGGGAGTACCTCGACGTCGGCCACCGGGCATGGCACTTCATCGATTCGACCTACCAGATCACCGACGACCTGTTCATCGCCCAGCTGGAGGGACAACTGACGCACCTGCGTATGGGTGACGAGGAGACGGCGACTAACTACTGCAACCGGACACGGCGAATTCTCGCCACCATCAGGACGGCCGGCGCGCAGTACTCCACGGTGCCGTACATTACCCATGTCATGCAGGGACTCTCAAGCAGCTACAACCTCTTGAAGCGGCTGTCCATGGCGCCAAGCACGAGGGCGACACTCAACGAGGACAACCTGACCTCGTACATCCTGCAGGACGAGGCGATGCACGAGGCTGAGCAGTCACAAGAACTCTTGGCGCAGGCCAACTTTGTCGCCCCGGCGAAGCAAGGAGGCCGACAAGGACAGCGTGGGCAGTTGGGCAGCTGCAGTAGCAGTGGCTTGAAGCTGAGCAAGGACCCCAACAAGAAGAAGTCGGCTAAGGATAGTGGTCGTGGAGGCAGAGGCCGACGCCGGGAATGCTGGCTTTGCGGCGACCCCGACCACCTCTCCTTCGAGTGCCTCGACCGCAGTGACTCCGATGACGACGAAGCCAAGGGAGGCCGAGGAAGGTCTGGCAGCCGTCGTCCTCGTCGAGGTGGAAGCAAGCCGCGCAAAGGAGAAGCAGTCGACCAAGACGTCGACTTCGGCGAAGGACGCCGACTCCCCTGCTGGCGGCAAGGCGCGGGACGACAAGACGGCGTCGTGCTCGCTGGTCGGCGTTGTGGAGCCGCCCGTCTTGCTGGCGCCGGAGGCCGGAGAGGACTTCCAGGCGGTGGCAGCAGCTGTGCAGGCGAACCCGGCGGTGGTCCTGCTTGACAGCGGTTGCTCCCACCGCCTGATGGGGACGAAGGAATCCTTCGTCGACCTGCAGCCGAGCGGCGCCATCAGGCATGTGCGCGGCTTCAATGGGGCGCTGCAGGACGTCCAGGGCCGTGGCACCGTCGCCCTACAAGGGGAGGCCAGGAAGCAGGTAGTCATCCCCGACGTACTGTATGTCCCGGGTGTGCGGGCCAACCTGCTGTCGTCCGGCCAGCTAAAGGAGCACGGCGTGAAGCTGCAGGAGGACGGAGACGGAATGATGCTCGTCTCTGCAGCCGGAATGGTGCTCGGTTGGGCGACGTATTCCGGGCGTGTCCTCTGCACCAACCTGCGTCCCTGCTCAATGAGGTCAACGTTGCCCACGACGGAGGTTGTGGCCCTGCGAGCGATCGTCTTGAAAACGAAGTCGACGCCGGACAGGATGCATGCTAGACTTGCGCACGTCGGCATGGACACCATCAGGAGCTCGGCAAAGAAAGAGGTCGCCATTGGGCTGGACCTCAAGTCGGCGACGGGCGCCGACTCACCATGTTTCTCGTGTGTCGGCGGGAAGCTGGCGCGGCACACCTTCCCCGACCAAGGCTCCGACGCCGACGACGTGCTGGCCGTCGTGCACATCGACCTGTGCGGGCCGTTCCGCGTGGCTGCCAAGGATGGCAGCCTGTACTTCTTGTTGCTGAAGGACCGCAAGACCCGCTACGTGTGGGTGAAGCCGGTCACCAAGAAGTCAGATGCGTTGCCGGTGTTCGTGCAGTGGCTGGCGGTGGCTGAGCGGCAGACGAAGAAGTCGGTGTTGATGCTGCGCTCTAACCGGGGAGGGGAGTTCCTCGAGAAGCAGTTCACCGACTTCGTGAACGGCAAGGGGATCGTCCACAACCTGACCTGCCCATACACCCCGCAGCAGAACGGCATGGCGGAGCGAGAGATGAGGACGGTGGTGGAGTCGGTGCGGACAATGCTGCTGCACATGGGCGTGCAGCACCACTGGTGGCACCTCGCTCTCCGGCAGGCCGTCTGGGTCCGCAACTGCCTTGAGAGGTCAACACTGCCGCCGGGGATGACGCCGTACCAGCTGCTGACCGGGAAGAAGCCCGACTTCTCGCTGGCGCGGGTGTGGGGCTGCATGGCGCAGTTCTTAGTCCCCGAGCAGCAGCGTGGTGGGAAGCTGCAGCCGAAGGCCAGGTGGAGCCTGCACCTTGGCCCCACCTGCGGCGAGCAAGGGCTGGGAGCTCCTCGACGTCGACACCGACCGGGTGGTCACCACGTCGGACGTGGTGTTCTACGAGGAGATGTCGCTGGCGAAGTGGAAGACGGAGCACGGGTCGGTGTCCGACCGCTCGTCGCCCACCCCGCCCTCTGACACCTCGTCGGCGACGCTGCCACTGCTTGCCGAGGCCGGTGAGCTTGCTACTGAGGACGTCGAGGACGTCCGCCCCCCTACCCCTCCCCCTCCGACCCCTGCCCCTCCCCTCGTGGCCGACCTGCGTGTGCTGACCTCGGTGTCGGCCTTCGGCGATGAGGGGAGTAGTGGGACGTCGCCTTCGGCCAAGTGCATCTCCGGTGGCCGACGTGACGAGCGGCAGGTCGACGTGGGATTGCAGTCGACGTCAACAGGGGAGGAGCAGGTCGAGAAGCAGGTCGAGGACCAGCGGCTGACAAAGGAGCAGGCAGCAGTGACGCCGACTAAGGAGCAGTCGGCGACCGGGCAGTCGGCAAGGGAGCCCAACACAGGAGAGAAGTTGGCTGGGACGCCGACCACAGGGGAGAAATCGGCTGGGACGCCGACTGAGGAGCAGCAGGACGCCGAGGGCAGCGACAACAGCGACGATGGAGGGGACGCCGAGGAGGTCCAGCCAGGACCACGGCGTTCAGGCCGACTTCGGAGGCCGCCTGACTTCTTCGTCCCCGCTACCTTCACCACGGTGTACGACGTGGACGATGAGGCCGACGACCTGCTGTACGACGACGCCGAGGAGGATGAGGAGTTTCCAGAGCTCGACCCCGACATGCTAGCCGACCCCGAGCACCGTTGGGACATCTCGACGATGACGGTGAAGGAGGCGTTGGCGAGCTGGAAGGGCCCGACGGTGAGGGCCGCCATGGAGGAGGAGATTCGCAGCCTCCTCAACATGGGAACGTGGGAGCTGGTCGAACGGCCGCCGGGAGTGAACGTCATGAAGAACCGGTGGGTGTTGAAGACGAAGTACCACGTCGACAACACCGTCGAGCGC